AATTTGAGTTGAATTACTGAAATAAATGAACTTTTCCACGACATTCTAATTTATTGAGATGCACCTGTATATATATATACATACATACACGTATACATACACACTGTAGGGCTGGGTGACATAGCTAAAAAATTTATCACGATATAATGTTTCATATTGTTCAGTATCGATCATTTTTTTTATAACCTTTCTTAAACAGAGCAGTAGAAAAAAGGTTTAAATTTAACCACTATTTTTAATTTATACAATTTATTAAGACAAACAACTTATTTTAGTCTTAAACAAAATAACAAATAAAACAAAATAAAATAAAATTCAAACAAATATCTCCTTTTTTATATTTTATATGGCAGATTCAGTAAGTGTTAGGGAAACATTTGACCTGTATCCTCCTGAGGCCACAGGAGGGCGCAATGAGCAAAATAATGCACCTCATTAAACGGTTTATTCAATGCATTGAAATAAAGGCTGTCTATAAAAAAAAAAAAAAGTGCATACCGTCTAAACTAATATTTATAAATCAAATATAATTTCATAAATTGCATTAACAATATGAACAAAACAGCATCATGTATTTATGCATAGCTTAATACAAATAGCTAAAGCGCCGATCACACGATTGCATTTAAAAACATATGAGACGCAGTAGAATGGAATAAAACCCCCACAAATTCTCGAGACATGTCTTCTAAAAGTTGAACCTCTTTTAACTTTACATGGCTTTCTGTTCATCTCTTGTGCGAGACACGAGTGCAACAGCCATAGTTGTGCGTCTCAGAAATGCGGCGAATATGCGTTGTGTGTGAATGGCTTGGTTTCGGTTTTAACCTAAACAATATATAAAATGCAACAACTACACTTAGCCTACATCACCATCACCGCATCTCGTGTGCCACTGATAAGGCTTCCTGAAGCACACCTAAAATTCAAATAAACCGTTTTTGCATTCGAATGCGAATTTTTATTTTAAATTGGACTAATATTCCTTTTTTTTAAATTCAGTCACCTCATCGCAGGCAGGGCACTCATTTCAGCATGTGTTTGTGTGTTCTGTTGGCTGTTTGCTTGTCACTCATAACACGTGCCTTTAAATGAAAGCGTTAAACTATCGTGCGATATATCGAACATTTTTTCTATCGTTATCGATGATGGTGTACCGTCGAAAAATATCGATACAGTTTTATCGCCCAGGCTTAATATACTGTATGTATATATAAAGTATGGCTTATGACCCAATCAATGAATAGTCTTTTCAGTTTTTATTGCAGTGTACATTGTATCTAAATGGTAACACTTTACAATAAGTTTTCATTTGTTAACTACATTTAATGCATGAACTAACATTAACAATGAGCAATACATTTGTTACAGTATTTATTAATCTTTGTTAATGTTAGTTAATAAAATTACAGCTGTTCATTGTTAGTTCATGTTATTTCAGGTCCATTAAATATCATTAATAGATAAAAACTTTTGATTTTAATAATGTATAAGTAAATGTTGTAATCGGTGTATCTACGATTAATGAATTCTTCAGAAGTATTATTCATTATTACTTTAATGTTAATAAATTACCTTATTGTAAAGTGTTACTACATAAACGTTGTGACAATACACAGATAGATAAAAAGGTGACATTATTATTCTAATTTGTTTGATACAGTAATAAAACACTAATACCATATTTTATGTAAAATGCTAATTCAAACCCAATATTTATCATCTTCCTCAGCCAATTTATTGTTTGATTAAAGGAGTAGTTTACTTCCAGAATGAAAATTCTGTCATCATTTACTCACCCTCCACATGTTCCAAACCTGTATGAGTTTCTTTCTTCTGTTGAACACAATCTTTTGTGATATTTTGAAAAATCTTGGTAATGGTGCTCATCAACTGTTCGGATACTAACATTTTTCAAAATATCTTCTTTTGAGTTCAACAGAAGAAAGAAAGTCATACAGGTTTGGAGCAAGTGGAGGGTGAATAAATGATGACAGAATTTTCATTCTGGAAGTGAACTACTCCTTTAAGACTTTAAATTGCCATCTAATTACTTCAAAAATTGAGTATTTGGAAAATGAACCAACACTGACCTGATGCTTCAGAGGTGACTCTATACGTCGAAACTCTGAAGGCTGATTTTCCAACTGGTAAACAATAAGACCACGTTCTGCAGTGGCTACAACAGCCATAGGATATACCTATAAACGAACAACAAGACATCCATAAAATGCTTTCAGAATATAATTTCAGCAAAAGTTTTATGTACCACGTACTACACTAAGACAATGTTAGGGCTCAGATGCTCACTTTGCTAATTTACACACACACAATTAACACCAGCGATCAATTATGCTGTAAGAGTGAGACGTACAAGAGCTGTCCAAACTGATACTACAACAAATTCAGTTCAAATCACACTCCTTTACCACATCTGCACAAAAACACCTCTCTGGCATCTGCAGGGACATCATTGGATTTGGGGAACGTGTATCCCAAAACTGTCAAAAATGAGAGGCAGAGAAACAGTTGTTAATCTATTCTAGACCAAGGCTGCAATATTTGGTCAAATAAATATTTTGTCATTATTTTATCAAACACTGCATGCTGAACTGTGACATAATAAATGTTTAACACTAATAAACATTAATAAGTACTAGCCCATATCAGGATTTTGACTTTAGTTCAACTGTGCAGCCCTAAGGGTTGTGAAGATGGGTTCCAGCACCTTCAGTGTTTTGTCCCAGCTGCCAGTCATAACACAGCTGTAGTTTGGTGCTTTAATCCAGTGAATTGTCCTGATTGGGCCTTCATGCTGCTCAATGGAAAAGATTGTAAGACCTCTTAACCATACTGTAAACCAACACAACTGAAATGCATATACTGAAAGTATGAGCATAAGAATATATTAGGAACACAAATTAACTGCTTACTTGTGCTATCTGAATGGTCTGATTGCTGTTCAGATCCCACATCTTGGCAGTTTTGTCACAGGAGGCTGTAAAGACTTTACTGCCATCCTGTTAACAAAATAAGCAAAATCAGGTAAGATGCCTCCAGTCAGGAAGTAGTAGCCATTCAAAAAGAATATAGAACATAGGGATATTCGGTTCTACTACCGTTTGTGTTAGGGCTGTCAAAATGACTGAAAAACTACATTCGAATTTTCCACTTAAATATAATCAAAATTCTAATTATATTCGAATTTAAAAGGCATAATTTCAGTTAGGGGGAAAAAAAGCTTTTGGCTTCTCTCCTGAGACCACAAAATATTATGCACGTTTCTTCAAAGCGTAATAAAATAACACAACTTTTTGAAAAAAAGTGCATAATGTTTAAAATAATGTTTATAAACCATATATAATTAATAAAGTTGCTTAAACAATTAGAAAAAAAAACAGCACCATGCATGTATGTATAGTTTAATACAAAGGACCGAAAACCAATCACAAAGAGTAGGCTACTTTCTTCATTTAAAAACATGAGATACAGTAGGATGGGGGAAAACCACCATAAAGTCTTGAGACATGTTTTTTAAAAGTTGAACTTACATTAATTTTACATGGCTTTCTAAACATGTCGCTCTCTTGTGCGAGATGCGAGTGCAATGCTGATAGATGCCCCGCTAGAAAATGTGATAAATGTGCGTTCTGTGTGAACGGCTTGGTTTCAGTTTCGCCGTAAACAACATATTCGCCACACTGATGCTCTCGTTTTCCGCTATATATTGAATGAACAACGTAGCAGCACCACATCTAGTGGGTTCAACTGGATAGGCTAACAAAAGCATTAAAATGCAATGACACTTACATTGTCGTCGCATTTCGTGCACCACTGATAAGGCTTCCTGACGGCTGACACAGACCTAAAATTGTGGATAAAAATTTGGATTTTTTTTATTCGACGAATATTCGAAATTCGGAAAAAAAAATTTGACAGCCCTAGTTTGTGTAGAACAAAAATTCTGACCAGAATACCTACTTGCAACCATACAAAAAAGAAATATACATATATATTTGATTTATAAAATCACAATCCTGTTACAATAACTCATGTATCTGAGTTTTTCAGCAACAGTGTAGAGCAGGGGTCCTCAAACAGCAGACCAGCTTGGTTCCAACTGGACCGCAAAACAATGACAATGATAGCACTATTTTACTGTTTAAAGTGAGCAGAACAGCAAAACAACAGAACAGTAGACACCAAACTCTCAGGGTTGTTTATTGTAATGAACTTTTGGTGCTATATACACTAATATTTGTATCTAGAGCCAAACACACTTCGAGCCCTCCAAGTGCTACAAGAGCTACAGATGATGCGGTTATTGTAACAGTGGCAGAAACACAGAGAAAAGCAAAATAGATTAATACTTTTGCTAAAGCACTGCAGAAAAGAAAATGCAGCAAATACAATTACATTTACATTTATGGGAGGAAATGTTGTGGCCTAATGGCCCCCAAAGGTTGCGGGTTCGAGTCTCGTACCGGCAGGGATTGTAGGTGGGGGGAGTGAATGTACAGCGCTCTCTCCCACCTTCAATACCACGACTGAGGTGCCCTTGAGCAAGGCACCGAACCCCTAACTGCTCCCCGGGCGCCGCAGCATAAATGGCTGCCCACTGCTCCGTGTGTGTGTGTTCACTGCTGTGTGTGTGCACTTTGGATGGGTTAAATGCAGAGCACTAATTCCAAGTATGGGTCACCATACTTGGCCACATGTCACTTCACTCACTCACTTTTAGCAGACGCTTTTATCCAAAGCGACTTACAAATGAGGACAATGGAAGTAATCAAAATGAACAAGAGAGCAATGATATTCAAGTATATATAACAAGCCTCAGTTAGCTTAACGCACTTTTTTTTTTATTATATAATAAATAAAAATAAAACAGATAGAATAGAAAAAGAATAGAGTAAGCTAGTGTTAGAGGCTTTTTTTGCTTTTGTTAATTGTATAATAAATAAAAAGAAAACAAAAAGGATAGAGAAGCTAGTGATATTTTTAAAGAAAACAAGCAGTTAGTAAATGAATAGAGTGCAAGTCTAAAAGGGTCAAGTTTTTTTATTTAAAGAATAGAATTGGAATAGAGAGTGCTAGAGTTACGGGGTCAAATAAAGATGGAAGAGATGTTTTTTAGCCGATTCTTGAAGATGGTTAAGGACTCAGCTGCTCGGATTGAGTTGGGCAGGTCATTCCACCAGGAGGGAACAGTTAATTTAAAAGTCCGTGAAAGTGATTTTGTGCTTCTTTGGGATGACATGATAAAGTGACATTCACTTGCAGAACGCAAGCTTCTAGAGGGCACATAAAGAGGCCTTTTTTGCTTTTGTTAATTGTATAATAAATAAAAAGAAAACAAAAAGGATAGAGAAGCTAGTGATATTTTTAAAGAAAACAAGCAGTTAGTAAATGAATAGAGTGCAAGTCTAAAAGGGTCAAGTTTTTTTATTTAAAGAATAGAATTGGAATAGAGAGTGCTAGAGTTACGGGGTCAAATAAAGATGGAAGAGATGTTTTTTAGCCGATTCTTGAAGATGGTTAAGGACTCAGCTGCTCGGATTGAGTTGGGCAGGTCATTCCACCAGGAGGGAACAGTTAATTTAAAAGTCCGTGAAAGTGATTTTGTGCTTCTTTGGGATGACATGATAAAGTGACATTCACTTGCAGAACGCAAGCTTCTAGAGGGTACATAAGTTTGAAGTAATTAATTTAGGTAAAGGGGTGCAGAGCCAGTGGTGGTTTTGTAGGCAAACATTAATGCCTTGATTTTTATGCAAGCAGCTATTGGTAGCCAGTGCAAATTGATAAACAGAGGTGTGACGTTTACCCATCACACATATGACTCTGACCTTTCAAATAAACCAGGTTTGTGACTTTTGATTCCATCTACATTTTACATTATTAAGCAGCATGTTATAAAAGATCTTTTCATAATAAACAATGTTAAAATTATTTGTAGATGGCAATGAAAGACAACTAAAACTTTGAAATTACTAGTTAACTCATGATGAAGGTGTTTTAAATGGTTTAAAATGGTCCAGACTTCAGGGGCGGTCACACTAGACTTTGAACGTGCAAAAAATTTTCGGACGCCACTGCGAATATGGGCGGGAGCAGGATATGACATCACACGCCAAGGTTTCCCCTCAGTTATCTCAACATGGATTCCGATGTGCTTGTACTGTGTCTTTTGTCCAGAGACGGCGTCGAAAGCGTCTGGAAAGGAGAAGGCTGTGGGTTCACCCTATTCTACGGACTCGGAATGAGCGGGGAGAGTTCCATTCTTTAATTCAGGAGCTTCGGCTGGATGAGGATCGCCACAAGGAGTACTTTCGGCTCTGTCATATTTTATTACCATTTTTAAAACTATAGTGAATAAACTGTACTAATGAATGAAATGTTCAAGGTGTCTGAATAAATTTTGGTTTGACTGTACATATTAAATTTTTAAGTGCTGTGCTTTAAGTGCTGTAGGTTTTTCCCTTTAAATAGGTCATTTTATAAGTTCTTGAGGTGTGCAAAATTTATTTTAAAATGATTCTGAAAATACAATATAAAATAACGAACAACATTAAGTAATTTAATAATAATACACTTGTGTATAGTAATTTTATTGTACTCTCTCTCTCTCTATATCGTCTGTTCCTGTTTCCATTGACACCGCAAACCATGCAGCTTCTTTTTTTATTTGATTTTTATAATCTTTTAAAGATGTATTATATAAAATAGGACGCTGCACTACGGCTAAAATTAGCGCTTCCTCCATTTTTGAATTTCTGTACAGAGAGGTCACGCAGTGA